CAGTTTATTCCCTCTGTCTGCGGCAGCAGTGTGCGAGGCAGGGGTCATCATGTCTTGCCGCTTTCCCCTTTTTGAGACTGTCCTTCCGAGCTGATTGTGTCACAGGTAACATGCTCGTGTGTGTACCGTTGTGACTTGGCAGGGTGGCACCAGGCTCATCGTGTGAGCTTGGGCAATAAAAAGTACTAAATTCTCAGTAATTTTAACTGAGGAGTCAGGGCATGCCAGGGAGGAGTTTACAAGATGCCGAGACAGAATTCATGCTGATCAGCCACCAGCTGCTTCCCAAGAGCAGCACATAATCCTTCTGACCACATCCTTCCTGGGGAGAGGTAGACTCCGCAGCTGCAGGTTGCCTGGTGGTGTAGTTGCACCTGGAGAAATGCTAGCTAAGCTCGCTCTGAATGTGCTTGGGCTTAGAAAGCAGAGACTGGTGAATTTTATCTCTGTGTATGAGTAAACTGAGTAAACTTTGTATTTATACCTGTTCTGTTGAACTCTGTGCTGACCTACTGTGTTTGTTTTTATTTTTGTTTTCTTCCACAACTGGGAAAAAAAACCCCAAAACCTCAGCATTTGAAAACAAACTTGGGAGTTTCAGTAATACTTTTGAATTCACAGGGGGAAAAAAAAATTATTTTGAATTCTTGTAGTGAAGAGGTAACCACTTTTGCTGACTTAAGAGCCTGAACAAAAAGGCATTCAGGATAAATAACCTCACCGATGAAGCGTTGAAGTGTCAGGCAGGAGGACTTCTTTGCTGCTACTAAGTGCAAATGACACTTCTAAGAAGTAATCGTAGATGTGGTTGGATGTGTTCATGCCATTGCACTCCGTGCACATGGCTGCTGTCGAAGCGCAGGCCGACGTGCTGCTGCTCCATCGATTCAGCTCCCTCTGCCCCCAGTCTCTGTCTTCTTACTGACGGGTCGGCAGCGCTGGCTCAGCAGCAGCCCCGCATGTGTGGGGGGGCTGCGGGGTCACAACGGGCAAGCAGAGGGCTGGTGAATGTGGGGCTTTGTCTTATGAAAAGAATGGCTGTGCTCGTAACGGTGTGATGCGTTTTTGTTGTGGCCCAGATGACAGTTTCCAGTTCATACAGAGGACTTTTATGGAGAAGCACTACCGGGAGTTTGATGACTCAGAAGAAAACAAGCTCATCTATACTTCTATTTTTAATGAATATGTAAGATACTTTCTCCTATCTTTTGCATGTGTTGCTTTGGGGGGGGTTTAAGCCCAATATCAGGTCCTGCATTCCCCCCTTTATAAAATACCGGGTCAGACGGAGCAGAGCTGACACAGCCTGCTCTGCTGCCTGCTGCCTCTTCCGTGACCTCTGAGCAAGGACGATGTTTCCTGGAGCTCTCAGGTTCCTTTCTCTTTGTTTCACCTGAAAACTCTACAGGTGCTTTGTTCTCAACAGTTTTCCCAGAAAAAATGTTCGGCTCAGGGCCTCAGCAGTGGTGCGGACAATTGAACTAGTGTCACCCAGCCAAGGAATCTGCTGTTGTTTGTCCAGGGAGGAAAATAGCGTCAATAAGGTGTGGGTGTAAGGGAGAGGAACTGTTTTGAAATCTGCTCCTGAAATTTGTTATGAATCTGTTGGGGTGGTTTGTTGGTTGGTTTGTTGGGGTTTTTTTTTTTTTCCAGATCTCTTTAGTAGAGAAATACATTGAAGAAAAATTGCTTGATCGGATTCCTGGGTTTAACATGGCTGCTTTCACAATGTCGCTGCAGTAAGTCTCTGCTCTGCTTTTGCTTGGGGGGCAGGTTACGTGCTTCTCCATTGACTCCTTATTCAGATTAAAACTGAGATTTGACAGTTGTCCCTTCAGAAAGAGGTTCCTCTGTAATTAAAAAAAATTCATGCGTGCGATGACTGACTGCTTCTCTTGCCTTCAGCATGTTGTGCTGCTCCACTTTCTGAACTGTTACACTGGAATATGTTGGGGCTTAAGGGGTAGGAAGAGAAATGGGAATGGGAACAGCGAAGGGTTTCCTCCATCCCTCTTACGTTGAAGCCAGACCCTTGAAAGGTTGGGTCTCGTCTCTCTCTCTCCGGCTCTGTGCCGGACGCATAAGTAGCATGGTTTTCAACAGGCGGGTGATGGAATATCTTTATTGTAGTTTTTGTAAAAGGCATTCAGAGAAAAGTTTCATTTGTTGTAAGCCTTTGCATTTGGCCCCTTCCGCTTAACCAGCGTTATGAAGAGGTTGCCTTTGAAAGGTCGCTGCTTTTCCCTGGGAATAAGAAACTCAAGTCTTGTTGGGAACTGACTATCTGACAATATTTGACTCTATTTAATTTTGTAAAGTAGAACATTGGGAAAGTTCTGTGAATACACACAGCATGCTTAAAGGATGGATTGTTTAAGAGACAGCTCCTTCTGATAAGCATTAAACAATTTAAACAAAAAAACAACCTGACCGGTAAGAAAGCCACATTGGACTGAGCTGCTGTGGGAGCACAGAGCCTTCATTCCTAAACGGTTCCATCTGAAGTCCCTTGCCATGTATCATCAGTACAGCCCTTCGTTCCTAAGGGATATGCCTGAGCATTCTGTGCCTCTCCCCAGCCTTTCCCACCTTCCAAGGGACTGGCTGGCTGGCTCAGTGTTCCAGGTAAATAGATCAGTGCTACCTGGGTGTTAACTCCTGTGGACTTACGAGTCAGGTTGTCTGTCTGGTTTTCAAGGCTGGATGTGATGCTCTTACATCTTGCATTTATGTGAACGTATGTCCAGAGGAGAGCAATGGAGCTGGGGAGGGGTCTGGAGCCCAAGGCTGATGGGGAGCGGCTGGGGGTGTTCAGCCAGGAGAAAAGGAGGCTGAACTCCCTACAACTGCCTGACAGGAGTGGGGAGCCAGGGGGAGTTGGTCTTTGCTCCCAGGGAACGGGCGATGGGATGAGGGGAAACAGCCTCAGGTTGTGCCAGGGCAGGTTTAGGTTGGACACTGGGAAAAATTCCTTCCCCACAAGGGCTGTCAAGCACTGGAAGGGGCTGCCCAGGGAAGGGGTCGAGTCCCCATCCCTGGGGATATTTAAAAGCCAGGCAGACGTGGTGCTTAGGGCCAGGGTTTGGTGGTGGGATGGCAGGGTTAGGGGAATGGTTGGGCTTGGGGATCTTAAAGGGCTTTTCCAACCTCTATGATTCTATGGTTCTATATTAATGTTCTTGCATTGGAAATACTACAAAGTGGTATTTGGCTAAAGATCTGCTTTACGGAAGACTGGTAACATTCTTGTTTCAATTTTGCTATTGTTCTACTTGCCTTGGTATCCTTTTGACTTCACACCACTTTGAAATAAGAGTTTGTTTCCGACACAGCTTTCTAATTCCCCAACTTCTCTCTGTAGGCAGCACAAAGATGAGATGGCGGGGGATATATTTGACATGCTTCTCACGTTTACTGACTTTCTAGCTTTCAAAGAAATGTTCTTGGATTACAGAGCTGTAAGTATGTCACGTCGTTTGTTTTCCCTGGCCTACTGGTTGTTTGGTTTGTGTAGCTCTGCCTGAGAGCACCATGAGTGGCGTTACTACAGCAGGTAGCAGCACTCATTCAAAGGCTGGACAGGGTCAAAGGGAAGATAACCTCACGGAGCAGCTGTTTAAACTCTAAATGCACATCTGATGATTTCTAGAAAACACGAGTGAAGCTGCTCTGTGCAGCAGTTCCTCGAAACAGTTTTCTGCATCTTTGTGCGTTGAGAACCAACTGAGCATAAGGGAATGGGTTTTTTTCACTGTGAGCGTACCCGGGCATGGGCGTAGGTTGCCCAGTGGGGCTACGGAGTCTCTATCCATGGAGGCATTCAGGAGTCACCTGGATGCGGTCCTGGGCAGGCAGCTCTGGGTGGCCCTGTTGGAGCAGGGGGTTGGGACCAGGCGACCCCCAGAGGTTCCTTTCCTTGGCCATTTGGTGACTCTGCAATGTTTTTCTTAATTTTTATTTCTTTCCCCAGCCAATCCCAAATTAGCTGTTTAAGCTCATTCTGTTTGTATTTATCCTCCTCTCTGCCCAGGCTCAAGAAACAGACAGACAGAAAGGTTAAGGCTTTGAAATGAGCTTTTTCCTAGGGAAACGAAATACATGTAAGCGCTCCCCAGTGCCTGTCCAGTCACGTCTGAGAAAGGAGCAAAGGAGCCAAAGCTGTTGTCCAAGTTATGTCCTCTGCCACCTCGCCCAACCCCTGAAGCTTTGTGCAGATGGGGGCGGGTTGAGGAGAAGGAGACGGTCCCTGCCTCAGCAGCAGGAGTAGTTTTGGTTGGGGGTTGTGCTTTTGGGGACACCTGGGGGGCAAACCGCAGAAGCTCAGTTTCCCTGGTTCCTTGAGCACGTACTGTGCTCTGCCCTGGGCGTACAGCCGGCAGCACCACAGCGACCTCACCTCAGGCGTTCCTGCACAATCTCTTCTTGGCGTTTGGGTTTGCATTCAATCGTAGGCACTTGGGTAACGCAGTTTTACATCAATTTGATGCAACAAGCAGAATACACATTGCCTGTTCCATTTCTTTAACTGCCTATTCCAAAACAGCATTGAGTCACGGATTTCCCTTTCTTCCATGTTTCTAGGAAAAAGAAGGTCGAAGCCTGGATTTAAGCAGCGGGTTAGTGGTGACTCCATTAAACAAATCATCGATATCTTCCTCCTAGGCCAGTTCACACAGTGTATCCCTTCTGCAGACGAGTGCTGCTGCTTTCATTTGGACGTTAAAACATGGTGTTTTCCCATGACGAAGACTCTCTCACCCTCCAGACGTTCCCTTCAGAGGCCCAACCTTAGAAACATCAGTTTGTGAGTTCACGTTGGTATTCGGCGGCCGCAGAAGACGACAGTGTCACCTCTGCCGCAGTAATTGTTTTTAATAAATCCATGGCATTTGCACCCCAGCCTAACCCTTGTGCTTGCTGAGAACCCTAAGGTGCTGAAGGGACGCAATGCATAGGCCTATGCGCACGTTGTTTGCGTCGGCGGCTTGACCATCTCCCTGAAACGTAGACCTTGTCGGAACTGAGGTGGCAGTGTAAGAGGAGCCGTGTTCTGCCTGCCCCTGGGGGTGAACACAGAATCTCTTGGCTCTTCCCCGTCAGTGTTTTGTTGTTTTGGGTTGGTTTTTTTTAAATACTTTCATATGATCTTAAGTGCTGCAGCTTTCCGATGTTTTAGTAGGCAGATGTTCCAGCGTAAGGCTGTCCCCTGGTGCTGACAGTCGATACCTCAGTGTGTCAGTCTGCTCTCTGGCTTTTCTCAGTCTTGCCCTTAACGTGCAGAGCTCTCCAATTTGCTTCTGTTCAGGCCCCAGCTACTCTACGTTGGGGAAAAACAACCAAAATCTGGCCCGCATACGCAATTCCTTCCTTCCTTGTCGGCAGAGGCGCAGCTGCATTAGTTCTAGCAATGGGAGCTTGTCAGTAGGTTGGGCACAGGCCTGTTTGCCACGGTGGCATTTACTGCTGCCTGCAAGTCGCGGGTTTGCCATTGAACTGCTTGCAGCATTGGTGCATCAACGCGTTTCCAGCAGCCCTCAAAACATGGGCAAGTGAGGAGGTGAAGGTGTTGACCGGTGGCTGTCACCTGATGAGAACCTGGCCTCGACAGAGCAAAACAACGGATGGGCCATTACAGGTTTTTGTTGGTGGACAGGACATGTCTTAGAAGAACAAAGGAGATGAAGTCCCCTTCCTGTTGGCATCTGACAGCCGTTCCAGCAGGACTAGGGTTTTGTTCTTCAGCTGAAATGGTGTTTGAACACAGGCCCAGCCTCCCAGCTGTGTGGGCAAAGCTCAGCCGCACTTGAACTACAAAACTTGGTAACATTGACCAGGTGGGGCCAGGCCACGATGGCTCTTTGGGGGCTGGCGAGCAAGGTGAAACACAGTGCCCCAGCCTCTCAGCTCCGCGCCCACCAAATCAATGGGTGCTGCAGTGATTCACCTTGGTAAGTCACTAGGACACAGTGCTCATGGCTCTGCCGGGTTTTGTCTGGGGTTACTCTGGTCTGCTGGAATCTTGTGCGCACCCAGGCATGCACAGTTCCTTGGAAAAATGTAACACCCCCCCCCGAAGAGCAGAGCACCGCCACATGTAAAGGCCCGTTCACTCTGGGCATACGGGCTGCGGTTCTTCACGTAACTTCTCACCTCTCTATGTAACATTGACTTCTTAATGTCAGGAACAGATTTTTAATCAAATTTCAAAAGCATCCTGTTGACATAATTGTTAATTGTGGAGCTGAGATAAATATTTATGGCTAAAACTAAAAATATCCCTGTCGGGGTTGGTTTTACCCAGAAAAGTTTTCATTCTTTTCCCATTGCAATTGTTTCAATTAATGGCTTAAACTAAGGGCAGTGCAAGTGAATACCTCGGGCAATTGTTTCAGAAGGAAGTCCCACTGTATTTTAAGCAAGGGCTCTTGGAGTATCAGAGGCTGCGAGGCAGGGCTGGGGGACAAATTCTTATTTTGGCAGGGAACTGTGCCTCAGAGCGCCCTGCAGTGCTTCCTGCACAGATGAGAATCCTCTGTGTAACAGGCTGGCCTCACCTTTTAAAAGTATAATAATTTGTGCTTTAGAGAGGTGAATTTTCTCACTGTTGCTGTTTTTATGATATATCTGAGGTTGTGGAAACTCGAGCCTTCCTTTAGCTCGCTGAAAACCAGACGAAGGCAGATCTGCTGGGGGCTGCTGCAGCTCGTCCCTTCCACCACCGCAGTTTAGTGTCCTCGTTAAAGCCTTCCGCCTGCAGAGCGTGCGGTGATGGGGCAGCGTAGCTCCCCGCACGCCCACTTTCCTCTGTACAAATGGCCAGGAAATGGATCGAACCCGTTTCACCTGGTTTTACAGGCTGGGACAAGGAGGGCGTGAAAGGAGCAGTCGTTGGGTTGGGCAGGGCCGGGCTCCTGGCTCTGGCAAGCACCAGCCCGCGGCCCGGGCAAACAAAAGTGCATTTGTGGGCCGGGGGAGAGCAGCTCGGTTCTGTGCTGCTGCCCCCGCTGCGCTCCCAGTGCCTTCCCAGACCTCGATTTTGCAGTCAAAGGCCACCTGTAGCCAAGGGGCACAGTGGGACTGGGGGGGGGCAGGGGGTGTCCCCGCTCGCTGCGGGTTGTGTGTATATGCAGGTATGTCTGTGCGTGTGCATGCACGCAGAGCCAAGCGAGGCGAAGGCTCTGGACCTGGTGCCTCCTCCCTTGGGGCCAGGCCCTCATGCCCCTATGGGCACAGTGCAGCCGCCTCTGCCAGCGCCGCCTCTGTGCCCCACTCTGCGCCATGCGTGCCTTCCCACAAGGCAAACTTCTGAGTTCACTGCTTGGCTTTAGGAAGATTTTTATTGAAAGCGTAAAATTTGGGCATCGCATTGTTAGAAATCAATACAAGAACAGTTTAGGCGACCATTCCCTTCGCTTGGCCTCCACCTTCCAGCTCTGCCATCCTTCATGCGTCCTGGGAATTGCGGTTATGCACACTGTGCTGTGAGTGACCTGGGCTTGGTTTAGTGAATTTTAGTATTGGAGTGTGCAGAATTGGCTGAGCCCCTGCAGCGGGGCCGCTCTGGTGAGGATCTGGGTGAACCCCAAGGATGAGCGGGAGCTTCAGGCTCCAGCGAGTCCATGATCCCCCATGAGGCTGTGGGTGATGGTGCTGGTGGGTTTGTGCTGCGGGCGCCTCAGCTGGAAGTGTCATCAGAGACCACAGAGCAGCATCCACACAACCCGGTGCCAACCGTCACAGTGCAGGCGGCTGGCCACGGAATTGGACGTGGGGGGGTC